TGGAATGATGCAGCCGCTGGTTGCAGCTTAGTTTTCCTGTGGTATTTGAACGGGTCGTGGTGAAGATGACTTCCTTACTCAGAGAGTGATCTCAGTGTGATCAAAGGTGGCTGGATCCAAACCTCCTGTTTGGAATCCGTCGCTCAGTGTAAGACTCAGCTGATCTTACTTGGGAGAAGGCGATCCGAAAAGGTCCAGTTTGCAGGAAGACTTCCTGCCGAAAGGCAAAGAACAAACAAAGTTGAGACTCAGGGAGAAACAAGCGCTCAGTAAAACTCAATGTGATCTCAGCTTGGCTAGAGGACAAAAACTCAAAATGCAAAAACTCAGATTAGACTCAGAATAACAAGGCTTGGCTAGAGTACCCCAAACTGGCAAACACTCTGGCGTCGAAGTAGTGGCAACCAGCAGGTTAAGAGCAGTCCGGTGATGAGGCAACAGCTTGCAGGTGTGTGAGGAGGCGAACCGGAGCCAGGCGCCTCCTGGTGGTGGAAGGGAGAAACACAAAAGACAAGACAAACAGACGAACACAAAAACTGGGATCCTGACACATACGCTGTCAGATTGGCACATATTGTTCTAATACGCATGTGCGCACATGCGCAGCAGAGAATTATTCCCACATTGAATTTCAGCAGCACTGTACCGACTAGCAAAAACACGTTTATTTTAACTTTTAAAAAAGAAAAATTTGCTCTGATTATACTATTATTTCTTGGATGTAGAAACAGTGAGACATGACTGAAGTTTCCAGGATGTTGAGAGAAGAAGCCAATATAGCTAAAACCATATTAGTCAATGTTAATTTTAAATAAATTACTTTAGTAGTACAAAAAGTGTGTGGGGGAATTTAAATTAGGTCAGATTTTGTTTTCATGTTTAAAATCGTAGAAAACTTTGGTTTTTATGTTTTAAATTGTGACTCAGTATTCATTTAGGTTAGATAGAAACCTAAGTGAATGCCGATCTGACAGCGTATGCTGTTCTGACAAGACATTGGACTTTTAACGTGACAAAGAATTGAGGTTGTTCTGCTGTGAAACAACGGATGAAAATGTGGGAAATTATCTTGTGCTGTCTGTTAAGTTTTGGGGAGGATCTGGTAATTTTAAGAACAAACTAACATAAGCTCTCAAATATGTTTGCACCAGGATCAAGATTCAAAGAGTAAAGGTGCATTTTGTAAAACATTCATTCTGAGCCACAAATACTAATCTATAAATGATGCAGCCCCTTTACCTGTACTTTGTGTATATGATGTGTAAGTACGACAGTGTGATATTAAGTTAGGATACTTACACCTGATGTCTATATTTTATGTTTTTTTCCATATTTGATTATTTCTTGACCACCTGCAAATGAAGGTTCTTCTTTTTTTGCTGGATGACAATTATCTATATTAGATGTGGTAAAGCAGCGAAACATCTAGAAAAATTTAGGGCAGTTGGACCCTAAGGTCAAAGGCGAGCTAATTTTATAGGATGTGATTGTTGGGTTCTGGATCCCTGTTTGTTTCTTTCACATTTTTGAGAAAAATTATTTCCATAACATCTAGATTTTTTCCTTTTTTGTCAAAGAGGCAACTGCAGACCTAGACTGAGTATAACAGCTGATCATTTTTAGAATCAAAAACCGATTTTCTCTGTCCTGTATATGTTTCTCCTATTATCAAATTACCTTAGATACATGAAACTATATCAGTTTTATTGTATCGTCTGTTTTGCATTGATAAGTTGGATACATACAGGATGGAGGGTAAAGGTTTTTCATGAAGCCTCCAGATTTTTCCATTTGCCTTGTAGCTCCTTGTACTGTCAAGTATAAGATTAATTTTCATACAGTTATGTTTATCAGACCATCAATGCATAATTTAAACCTCATAAACACACCTATATATTCTGTTTCTGTGTGTTGTGGACTTTGGTAAAGCCAAATATTTACCATTTTTTATGAGGTAAACGTCCTTCATCAACATTGCTCTCTAAGCTCACTGTAGATTGCTGCAGCTAAAACAGAAAACCAGTCTTCTTTCCTCCAGCTCCTGTTCTTGGATGTTAATAAATGAATGTATTTAAAATGGAAAAATAAGGATAATAAACAAGTTGCCTTTACTGGTTCATGAAAGATCCCTGTCAACCAGAGGGGGGTTAATTTTGCCATCACACCTGTAACAAAGATCTAAATTAAGCCCGGCATGATGCTTCCTGCCTCAGGAAGTAGACTAAGCCGCTCAGTAATTACATGGTTTGTAGTTCGACCCTGGGCTCCTTCTGTCCACACGGTGAAGTGTCCTTGTGTGAAACACTGAAACCCCCAAAAATCATAACCTTACATTGTTATAAAGCATTTGTAAACGGGCCATTAATACAGTGGCTAAGAGATGCAGACGTGCTGTAAATATGTAAATATACTTAAAATATAAGACTTTAATAAAACACCAAATTTGGGTTAGCAAGAGAAAAAAATGGACTAAAACTTAGACATACAAAAGAAAAATAAGCACTGAAGAGTACGGAAGAGGATTAGGGTCACTGAATTTTTTAAAAAATTTCAGTTTAACATGGGGAAAAAAGTCAGAATTCTGACTTTCTTTCTCAGAAATCTGACTTTTTTCTCAATTCTGACTTTAATCTCAGAATTGTGGATCTTAATGTAGATGGACACCATGAAGGAAGAGATGTGGGAGCACTCAGCTTCACTGACAAAGATGTGAATTGTTTGAGGTGGCCAATGACACATTGGCGGAAAATGACAGAATTAGGCAACTTTTTACGTGCCAGAGGGGTCCCTTCATTAATAGAGGAGCAGAAGGTCATTAAAACAAGAGAGCTAGTCTCTAAAACAGACACGGCTATGGCTTGATGCTATCATGTTTATTAGCTGTTAGAATTCTGAGAAAAAAGTCAGAATTCTGACTTTTTTCCCCATATTAAACTGAAATAAAGTTTAAAAATCAGTTCACTTTTTTTTTTCAGTGACCCTAATGCTCTTCCGTAGTAGAGATGTTGTAATCACAGAAAAAAAAGTGAATCATGTTGCAAATGCATGTTTGCAAACACAGAAATAATGGTAAAATAAAATAATATGTGCAAAAGTTTGCAAATAGCAGAAGCATCATTAATGTTAAAAGCTGCAAAATAACATTGTGGAAGTGATGACTAGAGGGAAGCAACCATTAACTCATATGGGCCCAGAGCCTTAGTAAAGACAAAAATAGGATTCTCAGAGAGATTAAGTTTGCTCCGTAGACACTAGCACATATAATGCATATTTTCTGGTCCCTTATTAGTTAATTGCTTTGAAAAAATGATGTTTTTATAATTTGTTTTCCTGTTGGTGCAATGAGATTAGTGTGTATTGGTCAGAAGTCTGTCTGGCATTGTTGAAATAGAAGTCCAATCAAATACGCACAAAAATTACCTAAACAGTGAATAGAATTCACTGTTTCCCTTAGAAAGGGTCTCCAGTCTTAAGTGTCCAGCTCAGTGTAATTTATCCTTAAATGTTCTGTTTCAAATTTGTTAGACATCTGAGTACAAACAGAGGACTAAACAAAAAAGCACACAGATGTAGTAGGAAATTATAAATAAGCTTAAAGCAGGGTTTGAGTCTAAAACAATATTCCAAGTTTTAAAAATCTCCTAGAGCTCTGTTAGGTCCATCGTCTGAATATGGAAAGAAGATAGAACAACTGCAGACCTACCGAGACATAGAGGTCTGCCTAAACTGACTGGCTGGAAAAGGTGGTCCTTAAACAGAAAAGCAGCCACAGAGATCAACTGTTCTGGTGGGAGGATCTATTTTGTCAAATTATAATTCATAATAATTTTACCTTGTGGTTATGGACTACTTTGTTTTTTTGTGTTTTATAACAGAAAATCATGAAAATGTTTTTTAAGATTGTAACTGATTGTGCTGCAAGTGAAATATTCAAACTATAGCATCTTATTGTCAGCTATACTGCATTTGCTGTTATGGACTTTATGTAATTTTCAATTATTTTGTGTATTATCAGAATTCATATTTTAATGTTTTGCAAGGATTAAATTCTTACTGTGGTCTGTGATCCGTGGATTTTTCTCGTCAACCTACACCCTCATGCCATAATGTTATATCTCCATGTTTTCACTTAAATATCTGTTGTGCTGTGTTTAAACTCTAAGCTTTTAATTGACTGATGTGTGCTTTACATTTTTTATATGACCATATTTAAAAAAAAACATCTTTTTGAAAATAAAATTAGACATATTTGAACATTTTGGAAGTCATCATCCTGCAGAATCCAACAGTGCTGCAGTGCAGAAGCTGTGAGCCGCCATTTCTATAATCATTATTTGGTACCAAAATCAGTCCAAACAGAAAATTTAATGATGTCTCTATAAATTCACTTTATGTTTATGTGTCTTGTTCACCAATGATAGGTTTGAGTTTAGGTTTCCTGCAAAACTTCCATTGTGAAGTTTTATTTTTCTTTGTTTTATTTTTGCTTTGACAAATCTATTGGTAAAATTGTAGACAATCAAGTGAAGAAATATTGGTGTTTAAACTACTCGACAAGCAGCAGACAGGGATCATTAAAATACATAAAAAAGATTCTTAAATTAAAATTCAAATTGAGTTTTAAAATATTACAATTTAACCAAAAAGATTTTAAAAATTCAGGCCAAACAATCCTCAACTTCCGATGTGTTCTTCCAATATGTATTGTAAAAATGGCGGAGCCCCCTGCCTGATATGGCATTCCCCTCCCGGATTTGGTATTCCTGGGACCTGTTGCTGCCGCCTTCAGGCTATTTGTGGAATGACAGGAAGTTAACGGTACCGAGATTCAAAAAGAAAAATGCATACTTGGATCATTGCTTTACAACACTGCTAGAATAAATGAAAAACAGTCTTTCAGCTGGAGAAAACCAATATTTTTCTGTGACTGCCAGTGTGTCAGTACAAACCCTGTGGGCCCCATCGGTCTGTCTGACTTTGTGGTTTCACTGGTCATGTAGGAAGGTCCCTATGTGATGCTAAAGAAGAACTGGGAGATGTACGAAGGAAATGACCAATACGAGGGTTACTGCGTGGACCTGGCCTCAGAGATCGCCAAACACATCGGGATCAAGTACAAGATTTCCATAGTCCCGGATGGAAAGTACGGCGCCAGGGACCCAGAGACGAAGATCTGGAATGGCATGGTTGGGGAGCTGGTGTACGGGGTAGGTGACACTTTTATTATTTACTCTTTGATGTAGCTTTTATCTTGCTCTGGAGGGTGAAGGAGGGAAACTTTTCTTTGGCGTTGTGGCTGCTTCTTTGGATGTTTGTGTATTTCCCCACTGTCGGTCTATGTTGAGCAGTTCAGGTGAAACATCCTAGAAGTACAAAAAGTATGGTATCTGGTTTTACTTTCACACTCTTTAGTGCTTTCTTTTATATCAGACAAAGATAACATTAGTAAGTTATAGACAGCTGTTTATGATGATTTCATTTATGGGAAAAGATCTATGGAAATCCACCTGGCCCACTGGGAAAAGATTATTTCCAAACCTTATGCCTGATGGTTCCAACCTTTGCAGCAAACGCTGCTTACAATGCGTGCATTAGATATTGTTCTGGATTTATCTTTGACCTCCTGAAGGATTTGTCCAGGAACCCTTGGATTATTTTGCTAGTCTAACCAATTCTGGGAAAGTTCTTCACAGTTCCATGTTCCCTACAGGTTTGGATAATGGTCATCACTGTGATTCCATGGATACTCAAAGTCTTAGAAATATATGGATATGTTTTTTACTTTCTGTAAATCAGGTTTTTATTTGTTTCCCATTAACCATTGAAAGATTGATTTATTCTGTAGGTCTGTTAAATGAGATTGGACTATAACTGTACTTACAAAAGGGTGAATTGAGTATTTTTATTTGAATAGTAAGTCATTTAAAGAATGAGTTTCATACTTTGTCAGGTTTTCTTTTTGCAGTTTGTTTAGGGTGAACATTGAAGGTTTATTGGATTTAGATATGAACATTGTAACATTTTTTTTTTAGTAACTGCACATGTGCATGACCATCCTACTGGCTCTTCACGCCTATTAAAAGTCTGAGCACAACCACCTCTGTTTATGGTGTGGATGCATTTCTCAGAGACACAAACTTAGTAAAAGAAGATGTTTAAACTACACTTTATCCGATTGGCCACTTAAAATGAGGCTTATTGGACACAAACATTAGAAGTGAGTAAGCTCACCAAGAAGAACCAAGCAAAAGAAAAGGAAGATCTCCCAGGAATTAGAAGGTGAATGAGGGTCAGCCACTTTACCTTAAAGTATGAAAAGAAAATCTTTGAGTTTAAAAGAGGAAGCCGGTGTGTAGATGGATTAGTTCTTCTGCAGCCGGCGGTTACATGGAGCCAGTATTTTCTAAGCTGAGCCCTAAAACAAAGCTCCCTGTTTACCAGCCACCAACCTTCCTCCATGGTCCTCAGATGTGGATTGTTACTGCAAGAAGCGGCTTCTTGTACATAAAGCAGCTGAACTTAGCATCCACCATGTCGGTGCCTGGACTCGGCCTTGGAAGCGATCAGGATGCCTCCAGGGAACATCGGAGGTGTTCTGAGCAAGAAAGAGACACAAGGGCTGAAAATGTACTGTCTTAATTTTGTCATCATATTTTCAGAGTTACCAAAATCAACGTTTCAGCAGTCTGTTATGTCTTGGTCTGCTCTGCAATAATACTTTGTAAATGGTATAAATATTCTGTTTTAAGTATTTGAGTCTATGTTTGTAGCATAGTTTAGGTCCCTTAGATCACTGTAATGAAGCTAAACATTAATTAACAAACTCTGCTTCATACAATCCTGTTTAAACTACAAAGAACCTTATTCAGGGTTCATTCAGGACTGGATCAAAGCTAGTCTTTCACGTGTCATGACACTAAAAGGTGCTTTATCCTGGTTAAAGAAAAATATTGCACAAAATGTAGTATTGTGTCATTTGCTGTGTTTACATATTAAGTTATCATCTCTTGCTGGTCAGATATAAGAGGCTGTGTAGTCATGTGTTTTTTATATTTTTCAGCTTTTCGGTAATTAAATTATAAACTGGAGTTATTAAAGCTGGCAGGTAGAGGAGAGAAATGTATGCAGGGTTATGGTCTAACTTTTGACGGGGTTAAAGAGGAGAAGCGGAGGTGTGGAGCTTGTTGAAGCTCGTTAAAGAGGCGACATTTGATGAGGCGTGTTTCTGCGGTTCATTAGAACAGATGCAGGGATGTGAGAAATCATGAAGGAGTTTTAGTTTATTTGTTGACACTTTAGTGTGTTTTAAAGCAGGAACATCTTTTAAAAGGTCACAGATTAAAAATAAATAAATTAAAAACTCTTTGTGTGCATCTATTCAGTCATACTACTTTAAATCAGTTCTCCTTATGTCTATAATATCATGGGATAAAAAAGGATGTTGTGGTTCGTTTATTGACATTAATTTGAAAAATACTGAAAACATATAACATAACCAAAAAAATCAAACTTAAATAAAATTTTTAAAATGCAATATAAAATGTAATTAAAATGGGATCTCTATTATGGAATAAATGCGAAATGTAATTTAATTTAAAATGGCCTAAACTAACACATGTAGGTCACACCCGGGAACATCCTGACTCAGCATTTAAAAAGAGGTTTGTCCTGTTAAAACCTTAGGATATAAATCTTGGTGCTCCTGACAGTTGATGTGAGAGCGAACACCATAGTTAGATCCTTGATGTGCGCTGAGATTTATGACACCAGAGGAGCTGAATCCTTTGGAGCAAGAAACACAAATATATGAACCCAAAAATAAAAGCCTATATTTTACCTCCACTGAAACATTTAGTTTTCTTAGAATCATTTTTAGTATGCTTCATTCAGTTCCATAGCAAGAAAACCAGAACATCTTATTTATCATATTTGAATACCTAGTTGTTGTTAAATCTATTTTATTTAATTTTTTCTTACTAAAACAGGAACTCATTTCTGACCTGTCCCTCATTTATATATGAAGAAGAAAGAAAGTAGCTCACATTAATCAAGTCTTTTAA